TTTTTTTTTTTTTTTTTTTTTTTTTTTTTTTTTTTTTTTTTTTTTTTTTTCAATTTCGATAACTGTTTTGATTAGAAAATACTTCTATTGAATTGATGGAAAATTCATTTATGAAACAGTCGTTGAGAGTGTTTCCATCAACTGCATTAAAAAATTGTGCAGGCGTGACGCTAAAATTTTAAAAGAAACCCAAATGTTACGATGTGACTTCTTCCGTCGCGCCATCAAACTCTAATTTAACCGCGCACTCGTCTGGCAATCCCTCGACATCGACTTCATTCTCAGGAGCATTCAGCATGTTAAGAGTCACTTCAGCCGATTTACCCATGAGCGCTGGATTACTGGGAGTCTGTTTTTGTGTCTGAACTTGCTGAATGTTTGTTTGCTGATTCGTTTGTTGCTGTGTGACGATTTGCTGTTGCCTGATGGGGACACCAGCTTCCTCGAACGCTTTTTTCTTGAGGGTTGATCTTATCTGTGATCTATACAGTAGAGAAAAAATACAAGATAAAAAAAGGTTAAGCATTGACGAAGAAATTGAGGTACAACTGTTATCTCGGAACCAAAATAAATTTTGACAGACAACTTACACAGTCCTCCCTTTGATGTGATCACTGATTTTATTCAAATCTTCACTGAAAGTTTTAACCGAATGTCGCAGCATCTCAATTTCCTCATCAGTCCATTTACTGTAGATGACAACAAAAGATAAAACAAACTTGTAAATAATGTAAAAATAAATAAGTTGTATCTCGAATAGCTGAATAAGGTAGTTTGGTTGGAGATGAAAATTTTTATAAATTAAAATTAAATGATAAAACAAAGCACGAACTTTACTCTACTTTTTCAAGAAACTTTAAAGAACTTTACAACTTTTTCAAGTAAATGGAAAAATCATTATCTTCTTACCCAGTTGGTGATTCCGTGGTCGGATGCAGCTGCATAGTTAATTCGCCGAGCTTGTTAAAAGCTGCTCCAGCGGCTGTGAAAATCTCACCCACCTGTTAAACAACGTGGGATTTCAGTTATAATTTATATATTTGGCTCCATCCACTCTTGTTTTTTATTCAGTGCAATATTATATAAACAATTGATTGTAAAACTGATCGAAATCGACACAAAATCAGAGAGCAATCGCGCTCCTAGTAAGTCTTTATCCGTCAAATTTGACTGGTACGTAAAACAAAAACAAAAGCAAACAAAGATGAGCAATGCATGCAGATAAAAACAAAAGAAACACATAACCTTGCTGCCGCTGTTTCTCTCCATAGTTCTCTCGTGTTATATAGATTATAAGTATGTACACAAAAGAGAGCACCAAACGATAAGTGTACAATTTTATAAATCCGCAAAAAGTAAGCTCAAAGCCAAAACATTTACGCAGGTGTGGACATAAAGGGAATCAATCAAGTTCAGATGAGGAAATACACCGAAACATGAAGAGAGGAACGGTGAAGGCGTTTGTCATTACATTTGCGAGGAGGAGGATCGTTGCTGTCGTTTGGACGGGTTGGCGGGAAAAAGCTGATGTGGAATGCTGAGTTTTCGGCTTACCTTGCTTGCGGAGTTCATTTTCGGAGTTCGCTTCGAGTGATTCGAGTTATTGAACATCTCCCCCACTACGATTTTTTTTCTCTCTCTCCAAAGGTTATGTGCTTTGTTGCTTGCCGGTTGCGTACGAAAGAAATACACAAAAAGTTGTATACATATACGCTTGATTAGTGCTGCCGACTATTTATGTAACAACAGCTGATACACACGCGTGGTCTGCTTTATCAGCGCGTGGCAGCTTAGGTTTCCAAGTTACCAACCAAGTTTGGCGCACATTTTTGAATCTCATCAACTTATTTGTTTACGCATGATATATTTTGATCGGTTCGAAAGACGAAGATCCAAGGTGGTAAAAAGATACAAGGTGGTTTATTTACATTTTTTTTATTATACAATTAAGCTTAAAAACGTTGCACTAATGCACAAGTGGAGAACTTCAAGTCATTTGTCGAACGAGTCCGTTGTAATGAGTTAACGAGTGATATGTAAAAAAAAAAAAAAAAAAAAAAAAAAATGGTTATCAAACTAAGAACTATGTTTTAAATGATAAATCAGCCTGTACAGCTGTAGTAAACTGGCGAAATATATTAATATATGAAAACGATTTTAGTTTTGTATGCTCCGAGTAAATGACGATGGTTACATTTTTTCCTGTGATGGAAAGTCAATGCTTTTTTGATGCGGCTTTGTTAAATTATCAAACTCAATAATAGGTCACAATTGTTACAAATACTAAATACTTATTTTCATGACGAATCAAATCGAGTGGGCTAAAGTAAATTCTAAATGTTTAAATTCTGAAGTAAGGTATCCCTCCAATTGCATGGGTAAGACATGAGTCCATGATGCACTTTAAGCATAAGTTGAAATGAATAATATTAATTTCATGAGCCTTTATAGCCCTTTCATGAGCCCTACGCGAACGAAAAAACGTACTACCGATTTGCGTAAATGAATCGCGCAAAAGATTCAGAGACTTTTCTTTTTCTTTTTACCATTCTCTTTGGCCTCTGAATGCATGCAAGTGGGAAAAAAAAAAAAAAAACAGCACAATGCTTTCGACACGCACAAATACACACTTTCGTACCTACGGATTTTCAAAAGATACACAAAGAAGTCTTCCTTTGGGAAAATACGGAGGCGGGGGTGTCAAGGCCTTTATTCTTTCTCGTCTTCTTTCACTGCTCTCCTTGGCTTTTCCGACAAGATTGTAAGTAAAGAAAAACTTCAGGTACTGCTTCGCATTGAATTTGGGATGATGCAAATCCAAACGTGTTTTTCGTTCACATATACATATGTAGAGACAAACGAGAACGAGCGAGATAGAAAGAGGGAATCAAAGGGCGAGGGAGAGAGAAGCGCGAGGGGGTGTGAATAGTGGGGAAGAGAAAGAGAGGGAGAAACGCGCGTTCCGTTGCCCTCACAACTGCGAACTTCGAAGAGGTTATGCGAGCTACGAGAAAGTTTGAAGAAAAGTACCAATGACATTTACTCACATTGAGCCCATGTTGATTTCAGGCATCGCCCTGAAAAGCGCCTCTTCCTGGGAATTCGTTAAAAAAGCGCCGTCCATTGCGGTTATCATACTAGCTAGCACAACTCGCTTCATATAATGACTTAGTCGTCGAAGCCGATGCCCGGTTGAGGGAGCACACCGAGCAACGAAAAGGGAATTTCAGACCAGGTAGATCGAGGAATACCTCTTTCTACGCGCTTATCATGTACCTCAGCCGACGTCTGACTTTTTGTAGTCGCAACTAATACAAATCCGTATTAGGTCGCGACGACTTTCGATGGCTTTGTTTTTCATCCGAAAGGCCTTTTACCGAGGCAAAGAACCAAGACGGATGCCAAAGGAAGACTGCTGTTGCTATGGCTTTTTCTCGGAGACGCTACGATTGCTGGCCGCTGATTGGATGTTGCCCGGGCCAATCGGAGGGGAGCAGTGGCAAACGGGCGAAAAGCGGGAATTTCAATTTTTTTTTTCCAATAGAATTTTCATGTTTCGTTAAAAAAAAATTTTTCAACAATTATGTAGGATTTGTACTTTTTTATTATTATTTTACACGCAAGATATTTACTTTTTTCGTCATTCTCAAGTAATCATCTCGATTAAAATTCCATATTTAATGTAATATCACAATTCAGCTTTAATGTAACATTAAATTATGTACTTAAAAATTATGATTATAATTCATTCTTGTCAACTGTGTTCCAGAGCAATCCATCGCCATAAGGTTTATGTGTTGACGGAAATAATATGTACCACCAGTTTCTATAAAAATTAACAAAGTAATTGAAACATGATGTAAACACAGTCAATACTACATATATTTGGCTAGGTCTTGTGTGGTCTGTATTTAAGTATACCTGTCTTTCAAGCCTAGAAAAAGCCTCCAGTTGTCTCTCCAACCAAAATCATAGGGGTTTCTGTACTTTTTACCTTGAGCTTTAAATTTTTTTTCCAGGGAAGCATTGATATGGCCTTCGACGCTCGACTCCCCTCGATTAATCAAAATAGCATGCCACACAGTCAAACCTCCAAGTGACAATAGTGTGGCTACAGCTATGAAGGCTGCTAGAAGTATTAATTTTCTCTTGTATTCGTTTTCTCTTCTATTAGCAGCTTGTCTGGCTATCTCTTCCCTCTCTTCCATACTGAGATGATCAAATGATTCTGGCTAGAAATTAAAGTTTTGTTTTTTAAAAAGATTAAATTAGATTTAAATATGTCGCAGGTAGGAGTCATCTAATTATATTCTTACTACAGGTACGAGTTCTGAATTGTTTATAATACGAACTGGGTGGCCTTCGAGTTCTGGCTCTGGTGAGAGAAAGAATTCTTCATATGCCAGCTGTATTCCAAATACAATAATAAATATAATTCCAAGCACAGTAAACACCATGTATTGGAAAAAGTATCTATGATTGAAATGACCAACGCAGTTGTTAAGCCAAGCTAAAAATCATTGTCAAGGATATTTATACCGATTAAGTTCAACCAACAGTAGAAAAGTATTAGATCGATTAAAAGGATACGGCAGTGATGATCCATTTTAAGAATACACTTGTTACAAACAGAACAGTGATGAGTCCTTGGTGGCTTTGGTTTAATACATTTCTTACAAATACTAACAGCCTCTAGGATGAAACCACCTTTAGGTGGATAACCAGCTGGTACTTTGACTCCCATGTAATAATGGAAGCAGACATTAAGTAATATCCAATTTCCAAAAATTACTAAAAATATGGTAAATGCTGGACTCCTTTCCCACCACCAAGGAAAGCCCACATAGTACGCAATGTAAACAATTAGTGCTGTGAGAAGTGTGACCATCACGACAAATACCTAAGTATGATAAAAGTAACAGTCTGAATAACAAATAACAATGACAACATTTTTTTAATTTGTAAAATCAACTTACTCTTCCCAAAAGGGCAACAAAGTTTTCTACAAACCACATAATTGGCTCGAGTAACGTGTCGCAAACATAGCTCCAGTTTAAATAATGATTGTAGAACAATGATTTGAATACAATTGTACATTGTTTGAAGTTGAGCCTGTAATTCAAGGTAAAATAGTTAAACACATAAATGGTTAAAATAATATTTTATGGTTTACCAATGAAAGCTTGGCTTCCTTATCACAGTCCACCGAATCTTTACCATCTTTTAAACATAATACAACTAACTTGCAATTAAAAATATTCAACATGACTAATGAAACGACAGTTTCTCATATTGTTTGAGAAATAATTAAGTCACGTAAAACACGTATTATCAATATTCTTAAGAGCTTAGACGAGATAAAGTATTATTGTGTCTGAGAGGCATTTAAGATAATTAAAAAAAGAAAACAACAGGTTTGTTTTGTTTCTACAACCTATACTCCTATACACATAGTACCTCCTATACATATTTGGCCTATATATACACTGCGGGGGTGGTGGAAAATGGTGAATGTGTATATTAATCTAATCACGTGACATGTGAAGGTGTTTTGAGATCTCACAAAAAAGCATTAGATCATTTAGTCAGTGAATAACACATATGAAAGATTACATTATACATTGTAGAAACTACTTTAAAGTTTAATTTCGTTAATTCAACCTTCATTATTTGTTTATTCACTACTTTTAAACAACACATCATATTTCGCGCTTTTCAGTGTCATCTCTCTCATTGAAATTTCTAGATTACAAAAGTCCCTAGCCACAAGCGTGAAAATATAAAAAAAATATTAAAAAAGGCAAAAAAAGTTCTGAGCATAACGTAAACAAAAACACACAGTTGCAAGATAAGCAGCCGGTGTTAAAAATGCTCGTTCAAGGAAAGTCTTTCATCCAGCCTCTCTGATAGGAGAGAAAAAAGCGCTTCCCAACAAGCAAGTAAGATTCAAAACAAAGCACACTTTTATCCGAGTTTTTTGACGTTTCATATCTGTCTTCATTAATTTCACACTTTATTCAAGAATCTTCGTTTTCAGCTGCTGCTCGGCAGTCACAAGAGAGCAACAATGGCTCGAGCACTGGATGGCTACAGCAATTTGAAGAAATTAAAGTCGTTTCTCACAGTAACCGGGGGTGCAGCTATATTCTTCACTGGTTACTCGCTTCAGCAGGGAAACGAGAAGTTTTACGACAACGTGGCCATGCCTTTGGCGAGGCTCATTAATCCTGAAGTCGCTCATCGAATAGCAGTGGTCACAACCAAGCTGGGACTGTCACCTGTTCAGAAAACCAGTGATCCACCTGTGCTCAAGACCACCCTTTGGGGCCTGGAGTTTGAAAATCCCCTTGGAATGGCTGCTGGATTTGACAAGCATGCAGAAGCTGTTCAAGGCCTTTGTAAAATGGGCTTTGGATTTGTTGAAATCGGTATGACATTTTCCTTTGCTCTTCCCATACATATCTGTTAAAGTTGCTGTTATTTTCAAATTTATGCTTGACTGAAAATTGCGTAATGCACGTTTCAAAGTATCGTGAAACGATCCCATCTTACTTTATCCTCACTTTTTTTGACGAGTAATTAAAAAAAAAACTTTTTACAAGAAACTTTGTAGGCTCAGTAACTCCAGAACCACAGCCAGGCAATCCAAAACCTCGAGTATTTCGGTTACCCGAGGATAAAGCACTCATCAACCGATACGGTTTCAACAGCGAGGGTCACGAAGTCGTGCACAAACGCTTACAGAATCTCAAGCAATCCAAAGATTTTCAGGGCATTATTGGAGTCAATCTGGGGAAAAACAAAACATCAGAGGATGCTGCACACGATTATGTCTCGGGCATACTCCGATTTTCAGATGTTGCGGATTACTTTGTTGTTAACGTCTCGAGTCCCAATACACCGGGTCTGCGGAGTTTGCAGGCAAAGAAGGAGCTGGAAGAGTTGTTGACGAGGGTAAACGAGGCGAGACAAAAGACAGAGAGAAAACCGCCACTGTTGTTGAAAATTGCACCCGATCTGACATCAGAAGAAAAAAAGGATATCGCGGAGGTCGTACTTGGAAAAGAAACCCGCACTGATGGCATTATCGTTTCCAATACGACCTTAAGTAGAGACAACCTTCAAAATCCGGTAAATGAATTTTTCACCTTTCTTTACTGAATTTATTTACTTCTAATTCGAGTGTATACTATTTTTCTAGCACAAAAACGAAGCTGGTGGTTTAAGTGGCGCTCCACTTGGCGAACTATCTACTGGTACGATTGCCGATATGCATCGGCTAACGTCCGGTAAACTTCCTATTATAGGCGTGGGTGGCATCTTCGATGGTGCGAGTGCTTATTCCAAGATCAAAGCAGGTGCCTCGCTTATCCAGATTTATACATCGTTTGCATACCATGGCCCTCCTATTGTTTCCAAGATTAAACGTGAACTTGCTGCGTTGTTAGAACAGGATGGCTGTACATCTGTGGCCGAAGCAGTTGGCAAAGAGTACAAACAGTCACTGGCCATGGCTCAGTAATAGTCTATTACTTAATGAGAATTTTATTTTCGTTGAAACTAGACAAACTTTTATAGCCATGATTTTGCAATGTTACTTATTTTTATACAATGGGATATTAACAATACACCAGTCATATGAAGTAAGCATGTACATAGAATTTAAAGGTGACATTTTTACACGAAAATTGTACATACATTGTTAAGGATGTTGTAAATTTTTTTTCAATAAAAAAAAGTATTTTAAATTTTCATTGTTACAACGTCCAATTTACTTCAAAGTGTCAAGCGAGGTGATTGTAAAACACTAAAAGACCTGTTGGAATGCTTAAATCTATTTTTTTATTTATATCAAGTTATTACATTTATCTTTATCAAGTCATTCTTGATTTTTTTACCAAGCCTCCAAGTAGAATGACTCTAGTAAAAAATCTCATAGATTTGTTATATACTTTCCAAGAGAAAGTTCTTAATGTAAAGTAAAACACACAACTTTATACATTTACAAAACTTATTTGCCTATATATAATTCCATTATTGTTAGGTATATATTTAGTGCGCAATATTAATATTATAAAACATACAGTTTCTACACCTTTGTACTCTGTAACATTTTTTTTTTTTTTTTTTTTTTTTTTTTTTTTTTTTTTTCAATTTCGATANATTCAAGTATGCGTGTAAGTGAAAAAAAAAAAAAAAAATGTTTCGTACTCCACGTGCAACACTGTATATTATAATGTACACACGCTAAAAATCGTCTACACGATGTACAATCATTGTCCTTTCTCGTGGAAAATAGCAAAAAAAAAAAAAAAAAAAACAATCATCCCTTACCCCGGCGTTGCATCCAATATCGAGAGCAACATACTTTTGGGAGCTGAAGGACTCCGGGCAACGGTACAACGTCCGCGGCAGTTTGCTCACTCGTTCCTCCACCGAGCGAAATTTGTAGTAGTTGATGAAATTGCCCAGCCTGCTCGCGCCCGGTTCCCCGCCCTTGGCTTCCGTTGGCTCCTCGTTTTCTTCTCCTTTTCTTCCTTCGCCGCTCCTCTCATCGTCCGGGCCATCACCGTTCATCGACGATCCACCCTCGGACGACGTGCTTTGCTGTAACAATACCATCGCATACGGATGTTGCGGTGAATTCATCTCTCGACCAATGGGGATGTATCATTCGACTTGATACGCGGGGAATTTCTGTCTGGGCAGTTCATAGGGTGGCAACAAATTTTCTTTTTTCTCCTCCACGCTCATATTGTGGAAAAGAAAACATCGGCACAAATCGCGATAAACAAATACATTACATGCACTCTCTTCGCTTGTCATTGATGACGACATGAGTTGTGTGTACATGTATACATATGTAAATGCAATATGTCACGTATCACAACTGCATGATTACCCGTGGCATGCGAGCGTCGGGAGTAATGAAATATATTTATTTTTCGTGAATTCTCCTCGTTGGTACACAATATACACGTACACATATAATATCTATGTATTTGTACATAGCCATCACACTTTCGGCGCGTGAACCTACTCCCCAACGCGAGATAAGATACGAGGTTTCTCTCCCCTGTACATACCATGTTACCTATATCACTCGATTTTTCTTTTTTTTTTTTTTTTCTTTTTTCCTCGGCACGGATTCCACGCCGCGTCTCGTATCTGCGCGTGTATGTTTCATTTATACACACACGTGTATGTATATACCTGTAGTCAATGTATGAATTATTATAACCCTTATATATATGCACTGGTATCGCTATCGTCGTGAGTTATACTCGCGGATGTGTTATTGTTGTCGAAGAAACTATACACGCGTGGGGGGGGGGGTGCAATTGGAATTTCGATTTTTTTCATTCACTCTGTCGAAATTGCCGAATGATTTTTCACGAGTAACGTGTGCGCAATGGGTATAACATATGGTACATGTATCATCGACGGGGCGACGCGAGGTATTTTTCGTTGATTTTTACTGTAAGGGTATGTCATATCACATGTATACCTATAGGTATACCTGAAGCATTGAGATACGATGAGTCTATAATGTTGTGTACGTATAGACAATACAGTGGGTTATTGGTGTAGAGTAGCGCAAAATATTTATCGACCTGTCCGGCTCTTTCTCTGGTTCGCTGTGCGTTATACTTAGTTACTTACTCCGAGTATCAAACGAGTTTTCGTATAAGTTGCGAGCTTTTTTCAATTTTTCGAAAAAAGGATACATGGGACACATCTGGAAGAATTTCAATTCACAAACATCCAAATGAAATGATGTACCCGAGTATGTAAATACGTTGGCGGAGGCCAAACGACTTAGTAAATAAATAAGTAAACAAATAAATTGTATATCAATGAATATTTAAACGACAAAAATTAAGAAATAACCGATGACGATAATAATCACATACTTATCAGCAGAGAATCACTGTAAATTTAAGACAAATTAAAGGACACGTCTAAAGAGTGTGTAGTTGAAATTTTTGTTTTTTATCAAGCACATTGTTGAGGCGTCGGTAATAATTTTAAGGAAAACCAAGGCTATATGGTGCACCAAGTGGTTAACCAGTTCCATTAAACTGGACACTTTTAAATGGAAAAAATCAACGTAGGAAAGAAAGCTGTGGAGCGAAAAAACTTGGCTGTCTTAGATTTAACGCACCCTCACGAGTCTGTAAAATCTGCGACAGAAATGTTTTACTCTCTACAGTCTTCTTATACCAATCGTTGAAAAAAAAAAAAAATGGTTTAACTTTTTATGGAATGGATGAAATAGATTACTCGAAGAATTAATTTGGTTACTCTTAAATCAAGACTTATCAATGAAAACGAAAATTTCGATTACAGGCTTTCAACATGTACTCTAACACACTTGGATTTTACAGTGAAAGAAGGTAAAAGTAAGGGCAAAGATAATTCGCGTCCGCGACCTACTTACATAACACACCATTATACGTACACATTACACCGAAGAATAAATGCAGTGGTTAGCCTTCGGGAGGCGCGATAAATCGGCTCGTTTTTCTCTTACATGAACCTATATGCATAACATCTCCTTTGGTACATCTCAACTTTTCTCCTCGTGACGTTATAGCATACATATACATGTATAGGTATAAAATACAGATACACCTCGTCGGCGGCTGATTGTCCCTTGATCCGCGACTCTTTGATTTTTCCGTATAAGCTTCTCCTGAGGACGAGTGCACACCATCGCTCACACGCATTACTCGAGTATCGGCATATCGAAAGGATATAGGTATATTTGCATACAAGCGACGTTTAAGTAGGGTATGGCCAATCTAAAAGCGAAGGTGGACTCCTTCCTGCGCGCTAATCTTTTCCGCGATTTCAAAATCTCCTTCCGCTCCAAGAGACAGGTATACCTATACCTATATATACGAACATTATCGCTGTGAACACACCTATGTGCTTTATGTTGTAGGTGATTTCGGTCGATCGGAGACGCACGTAGAAACTCAATTAGAAGCCCATAAGAACAGTCCTCCCCCGATTTTCAACTGACCGGACACGCGCGCGCTTGCACGCTCTAATGTCTACAATACAATACACACACGCATGTATAAGTACTATATGCGTATAGCAGCAGCCGTGAGCTTCCCCTCTATTGTCCTTATGCATATACTACCGCTTTGAGAGAAAAAAAAAGAAATATATTATATGTATAAAAGCTCCCGTTCCTCCCCAACCACGTACAATTCCCTTGCACGCGTCCGAGTGGAGGAGGAGCGCGTGCTTTTTTTTTCATTTCTTTGCTTCTCGGACCCTCTGTATGGGCAGGTGTGCTTATGTGCCCGGCGACGCTGTACTCCCTCGCTACTCGACCACCTTGGCGCCGATTCTTCACGTTTTGCTCCTGTAGCTTTTCTTTTTTTTGTTTTTTTTTTTGTTTTTTTTTTTTATTTGTCAATTCTTCCGACTCGGCTCATTGTCCTGCAGTTGCGAGATGCAAAGTGTGCGGATTCCCCTGCTCTTTGATCTCGTACCGTGATTCAACTGCCCTTTTTTTGTTGCAGATCCAATGACAGCATGTGTAGATACTCTGGTATACATGTAGGCATACATAGTTTTGCAGCTGCTCTACTCTCTTTAAACGCGAGGGTATTATGTATAATATATACGGGGATGATACCCATAGACCTTAAGCCTTATTGTTTCGCCCATGATGGTAATTGACGCACGAAACGTGTGTAGCTGGTAATTAAAATAGTCGAGCGAAATACGTACCGATTGGTGAGGCGTTAAAATATAATGCACATACGTCGTCAACCATCATGCATATTATTACCCCAGGGGTAAAAAATTGTTCATAGATGATGATAGTCACGCGTGTTTGAAAGGCATTTCTAAGGCACTTCGTTTTTTCGTTCGGCTGACAATGACGTGTAATCTTGATGTAGGTACACATTAAAGAGAGTTTTAGCCACGTATATAATAGTAAAAATATGAGTGACTACCCTTAAAATTGTAAACCAATAGTCAATAGTACGAGTTAATATTATCATTTTCAATAACCCAATCCAAGTGCTTAAATATGTATTATTCACTACACTTATAAATCATCGATAGACGACCGACATCTGCACTTTGAAATCACCATAACATGTTATATATGTACACATATACCCAAGTACAGAAGGCAAATCGATGACTTAAAAGTGTATACAAGCATCAGATACCTGTGACGCGACAATACACCGCACCAGCAAATGCACGCGAATGACGAGCGGATTACGAAAGATAGGTATACATCGTAATATAGTGGGTAGCGCACATAAGTACATGAGCTAATCGTCTTCGCTTACTCGATGCGAAGATCAAAGAGAAGAACGACAGGAGGAGGAGGAGGACGACGTGGCTTCTTGTGTCGCGCTTACTTGTATATACCTATATGAAAGGTATTACACCCGAATTACCTCTCCCTCTTCTTCTGACGTTTAAAACTCCGACGCAACAACGTTTTGTTTGGCAATTCGCTCTCTCCCTTCTTTGGGTGTAACCAGGTCTTCACTATAGGTACCTATATGCTCTTGCATCAACAGCACAATGTACGGGGGGGTTACAATATTACATAGGGGTAGAGACTCTCTTTCTTTGATTTTTTTCGCTGCTACAGCTTATGCTTGACAGATGAACGACAAATAAGTTTTTCTTCTTCTTTTTCTCGTTTGATTAATCATCGAATCAAAAGTTCAGCAAAATTTTAGTTCGTTCGATTGGTAGACGCGGGTAATTCCTAGGCATCCTTTTCATTTCAAAGGGCCTACATTGCATGACCAAAAG